AAACCATTACTGAGAAACAATATACCTTCTATGTAGTTAAGCTAAAATACCAAATGACTGGGAGTAGCCCAAGCGATGTGACTAACTGCCCTAGGGCCCCATCTGCGTAATATACGACAGCGGCTGGATAATTTTTAATTAGGATCTGCCTACCGACCTAACAAGGCCGCTATTTGTTTAAACAAACACAACTAAAAGCAACATGAGAACAGAACGATATCAACTATCAAGAATGTTCGATGTCTTTTTATTTGCGAATCATCCGTTAGAAAGATTTACGCACGCCCGCCGCAAACGGGTTAAGTGGCACAATCAATTCGAAGATAGAATTAACTAAGGACGAGGTAAGGCGAATCCTAAACAATTTTGATTACGGGTTCCTAATTAAGAATCACTGTTGAATTGTCCCTTTAAATTCTAAATGGCATTTAATCTAAAATTTTTGCAAGGAGTTTTTCAAGGGTATCTTCTTATTTTCATCGTCAAAATATTTACTTTCGAGTTTTTCGTGCTGCTCTCGCTTCAGAGTTGAGATGGTCGTGTGAGCTATAATAAGATTAATGATGTTGCTGTCGTCGCAAATTAAAGTTCTCTTCGAGATTTTAATAAGGCCTTTGTCAAGTAAAAGTTTCAAGTTTATGTAAATTGTTAAGTTTTAGACAGGTCTGAGATATGCTCTATTAAATAATACATTCTGTAGTAAAAAATGATGCAACAAAAATTTGCGGCTGCAAATATTTGTGTCGGGAGGATTGGAAACCACACGTATAATCTGTAAGTTTCAATTAGCAGTCCCCTACCTTCGCTACCGCTATTGAATTGGCCCAATGAACAGGTCGTTTTGCATAAATGCCCGCCAGCTGTTTACAATAATCGATGATATGTTTTTACGAGTTACATTTTCAATTTATTGATATTCATTCTTGGACGGACAATTTATTTGTATCGATAATACTTCAAAACTCCTGTTTGTTTTTAATGGGCCAACAACGATTTTAAATTTATCCGAGTAAAATTACATAAAATCAGCTAATTACCCATTTGTCAATAAACGATGTTTAATCGACAATAGTGACATGACATACATCATGAGGACACGAAAAATCCATAGAAACCTCGTCGCTGAAAGAATACAATGGAATAAAATAAACATGAATAAGTGTGACTGCTTATTGTTTCCTTCGTTGGGCTCTCTGAATTGTAACTTTTTTATTTGTTGGGTCTCCAAATCCTGTTTAACGTAACCTCTGGAGGCATTGACTCGGAGTGTAGTCGGATGCATTGTGTTGGCGCAACTAACCGACGACAGCGAGTTGTGAACAGTTTCTCACATCCCGGTAAGATAAGTGCATTTGCTTGTCGCGACAAGGCGCGGCGCAGTGATCGCTTCGCCGGACCGCCTCAATGGGCGCGAGTTCTTTATTTATATACGCCCTTCTGCAATTAACGATAGTAAAAAGAAATACATATAACTTTTGATTTATGTCATACGTTTATCTTTCGTGTTTACATTCAATTCAATGGCAAAAACGAAATCCGTTCTTACCTTTCTTACTACAATTTCATCTATACCTATATCGCATAATAGAACAGAATGTTTGTTGTTAGCTCTTTAAATGGGAACTTAACTTCGAAAGCAAATAAGAAGATACTGAGAAATAAACATGATAGAACCTAATGTTAAGAAACTTAACATTCTTTAAAATGTATTAAATAATTAAATCAATTGTCTTTGAAATAATTATAAGGTTGTTTACATTTCTAAAATGTTCCTTTCTATAAAATAATCCATTGATTGTGCAATAGTATCTTTTTGTATTTCTAGATATAGGTAAATATAGCATGTATATCCTTTTTTTATTTAAGGACTCGACACATTGAAATCATAAAATGAAATCTGGACCGTATGCTGTCTGTTTTTTGCCATTAAGTCGTATATAAATCTTCGTCCGTCGTCACCACTGGTTAATTTATGATCGTTCAAAAATCTCGATTGCGTGCCTTATCTCTGATGTAGTTTACCGAATCTCAATAAATTCAACCAGGCTAGCTTTTCATGTAACTTAAAATACTGATACATTTAATGGAATTATTTCAGTACTATTTTAATGAATTAATTTAATATTTATTACATACTATTTTTTTTTTTACTTTTTAATAAATGTAAATTTTAGGCAACTTCTTCTATGATTTAATATAAACAGATTTCTGACTATTTGATCTATAAACGCACAAGCTGTCGATGAGATTGGACTATTTAAGGTTATAAAGAATTGACGTGTGGTCTCGGCCTAGAATAGATAGCCCATTCCTTCTCTCGTAAGAGACGACTAAGGGAACTTAATGATCCAGGGATGGACTGCAATGTTCCTCTTAAAACATCATCAAAGACTAACTGCGGTTGCCAACCTGCTTGCCAAGCGTGGCAACTACTTGCAAACCCCCCAAATAAAAGCAGGCCTATGTTCAGCAGAGGACATTTAACCGCTAGTATGCTGATAATGATGAAATAATTCCTAAAGAAAAAGGCGATTAACACGTTTAATGAGACTAAAATTGTGATTAATAACTAGTATGTACTATTTATTTTATATGATAATAAAAAACAGGTACAGATATTTATCGATTTATTATTTACACATTATAGGAATAGGTATATGGTGCATTTACTAACAATACTGAACAATACTTTTATAAGTAACTATAAAATTTATACACAATCTCGAAATGCATCCATAAATATTGCAGATCAAATTAGAAGCGTTACATTAAAAAAAAATATTTGCAACGTGCATTGTTTCTTAACAAAGCGATCGGTATCCGATTGCGTATCTTTTAACGGGGACATCCCGAGGATATGTCGTTAATAGAGCGTTGTGTCTCTTCGTTTTGTTTTAACGTTCAGTGACTCCGTTATTTCGGAGCGAGTAATAAATTGCGCGATGACAGGTGTCAGCTGCTCCGACGCCTCTGCACTCTTGCGTCGATGTCTCATTCCTCACGTTCTACTCCTAAATTCTCTTATTTTATCAACGCTCCGTTCAATTTTCGTTTCGTTCTCTTGCCATTTTATTTGTTTGTGTTAGTATCACAGTGTTACTTGTGCTAATCCGTTTTGTTTCAATTGTATATCGAATATTGTTATACGGATTATTATTGATAATATTTTATTAGATTCCTAATCATTATCATTATGTAATACATTAAATTAACCGTTATTTAATATTTTATAATTTTTATTTTAAGTAATGAAGAATTAGGATCAATTCAAACATGAATGTATAAACTTTAATTTGTATTACATGCAAATTAACAACAAAATCATATATTACAAATCATAATTATTCCTGCAGAATACTTAATAGCTTAAATATATATATTACGAAGTCTAATTCCTTTTACACGGTCAAACATTTGCCCGCAGTAAATGATAGACGACAGTGATATAAATACAGAATAATAGTTGAAAAAGAGTAATGCATTCATATTTGTCTTGTGTTTGATTTATGCTCTAGTTTCGAACGTACAAAGTGATACAGAAAGGAGATGACAATATCCTGGCGAGTTTCGTATTCAGTCCTGGTGCTGGGTTTCAGCTCTTAATAACTGTCAACGAAGGTTTGCGTCACTGCTTTCGATAATAAATAATGTCTTATTTTAGAATTTCCCATTCACTATGTTTCACTTACACCGGTATGTGTGTATCAAACAACACACATTTCTCGAAAATGACACTCGACGACTGATTGGTATAGTGCCGCGTTACGATTGATTAATGATTGCCGCTGTTTTGTCTGGACTTGTCATTATGATGCTTTTAATGACTAATAATTGGACAGTGTTGCTGTTATTAATTAATATGGCACTGTTTTAATTCCATCCATGTTTTTACTCGTAATTTGGTCAAATTTTGTTTTAATATGGTACTGATAATGAGAATTCGTATTATTTTTTGATTTTATAATTTTTGCTTTAATAGATTTTTAACCTGTTTTAATAAATCAGAAATAATACGATGGCATAACCAAACAAATTCATTGAATGAAGGCGTATTAACAGTCGCGGAGGCAGCGCCGGCGTCGGCCGTACGACGATTACACTGCCTCATCTTTGTACACGCACGGGCATAGCACTGATGGGATATTAAAGTTTATTACCAACGGCAAAATTGGCCGAGCGACCGCTGAGGAAGCTACTCGCCAAGACCTATTAGCGGTATTACATATTTCATATGATCCACCGTTCATCGACGATTATGGGTATATTAAAACGCCGTCGGACCGTCTCCCGATCATGGGAATATGTACAGCCCTCACTTTTATCTACGTTTTTTTATGGTTTAGTAGGTAATTCGGTGATCACGATCGTTCAAGGCGTACATTATGGGTACCACTCCAAAAGTTTAATGGTTAATCTCATTTTTTAGCGATTCGCAGGGTCTCGTGAGAGCGCGAGGTAATTGTCAAAGCCATACTGGGCATTTAAAAAGGTTATATCGATAGGTTAGAACCATCACAATTCCTACAAGCGCTATAGCAATCTGCGTGGCTTTAAACACATTCTTCAAAACTGTTAATCGGAAGTTTTTTTTGTGCTTATTTATGTTATTTTTAAAATTTATATAAGATTATAAAAAAATTTAAAATTATATTTATTCGCCTATAATCGGCATCATCACTACCATCATATCAGCCATTGACTACTCACTGCTGAACATAGGCTTATGTCCCTGTGTATATACCAGCAGCATATAAAATTATTTAATAATAGAAGTTGTTTATACTCTTATGTAGTGTGTAATATTTTCTGCACGTAACCTGTACTTTACTGCTTACACCAAATTTACCAGTAATAGCGGCCTCGAAATTTAGAGCAAAATGTGCCTTTAAATATTTTTAAACATTTCGATTAGCAACTGTGTAAAATACATAGCAATCAACATCGTGTTGTGCGGTTTTATATACGAGTATGTATTTAATGCTGCTATTATTTTGTTTCAGGACTCGTTTACGGTAAGTTTTATAAAGATGGGCATTTCATCAATCTCAGATTAAAAAGTAACATCATTCAAATTTGTAAGTATACTTAGAATTAATAAACTTAAATTGAGGGCATAGATGAATTAAAGCAATAAAAAACACTAAGTCATCTGTGGTACCATTTCTAAAATGTTTCCATCATCCATATCAACATTTTTTTGTGTTACACATGTTTGTATTGGTTTGTTGGCTCAACACGTGTATCTGGTAAGATTTCCAATTTGTTAAGATGAAATATATCTGTGAGATCTTTACAGATGCATGGTTCATTAAAAAAAGTGTAAAACTTTTGCTACCGTAATTGTAGTATGTGTATATGAGAAATGTTTATGGACTCTTTATATATTGTTTAAAAGTATTTCTATGTTCTGTTTTTCTGTTAAAACTCCAGTTAAATTTAAACGACATTGGTTTAATTAATGTAACCATTACGTTTTCCGGTACTTCCATCGCGACGGGGGTCTCCTGCAGGGCGTAAGTATTACTTTATGTACCTATTATTCTTATACATTTGCACATTATCCTTGCATTTTTAAACTATGAACACCTATTGAATATAAACTTGTTTAATAACATTATAAAACAGCAGTTAATGCATTGACTTGGGTAACTACTATGATACCATATTTTGTATATAATTTTCTATTTATTTGAAAGAAAAGTCAACATTTAATGCTCAAAATAACTGAGATAAATGTGAATAAATATATAATAAGTAATAATATATAATAATAAATATGTAATAAATGGAGCCAAGGTACAGGGCTCCATTTATTACAATTATGAGAAAAATATTTATAGAAGTACCAAAACAACTACTCGGCTTTAGAATTTATACTTGCAGTATACAAAAGTAGTAGATTCGATAGAATCATAAAGCTGTATTTAAGAATTAAAACAAAATATGGCAAGAGTAAAGTATAAGAGTCCTGGGTAATAAATGGTAAATATTGTTTATTAAAATAGCCATAGTACAGTACCCTACATTTGATGTACAAAAATAGCTCAATCAAATAACACGATTGAGAGACAGAAACAATTTGCACACATTAACATGTTCATCAACGTCACTGTCAATCCATATGCATAATTACACATAGTATTTGACAAGACATAATTAGTGACGCTGAAGACGCATCGTTCTGCGGATCCTAATTGACATACATGCAAACGCAATCAATATGAGGTGGTAACGGATATTACCAGGACGCGAGACAAGCCATAAGCCTGCACTCCAATGAATATAGCATAGGGTCTAAACAATAGAAATACAACATTCAATCACACCGTTGCGTAAAACATGAACCAGTATGATTGAACATCCCACGGATACCACCGGCGATGGCTCTCCGTTAAAATATACGACTTAATGTTTCAATTTTACGTTATTTTTTGAGTAAAGGTACTGCCAGGCTTTGCAAAGATATCTCTAACAGTATACTCGTATATGCGCTATTTTAAGAAGCAAACGCCGCCTCTTTTTTTTAAAAAAGCATCTCTTTGATATACGTAAAACAAAAGTATTTTTGAAAGGTATGTACTAAGGTACTTTATATACATTTCAGATTCGCATATTTCTAACTGGTAAACGAATGTAAGTAATCTCAAGTACAAATATTTTAAAACATACATAAGGAATTTGAAATTAAATTACAAAATTTAATAACATTTTTATGACAAACATACAAAATTTGATCGTACATCAACACGAACTAGTGATACAACATTGTTCTAGCGATGTGATTATAAAATGTTGTATCTGACAGCCTACTCGAGTCACTAGTTCTAATACACGGTGTGAATGCTGTGGGAATTTGAAACACGACATTGCTTTTCAGACGGCTAAAATAAAATGGCCTATAACAATTTACACTTTAAAGTGGACGGAAGTTGAATAATTTTATAGTCCAGCAACACTTGTCTAATATTATTAAAATTGTTAGAACCAAAAAAAGCAAAGTACTTTTAAATGGTTAAAACACTTAAACTAAATTCGGTTGTGACATATATAGAAATACAGTCTAATGTAGAAATATATTTTGAAATATTTTAATATTGTTGTTAAAATTCATATTCAAATTTTGCTCAAGTGGGAATCACATTGTTTAAAAGAGAAAAGTTATATAATTATGTATATATATTAAATATGCTGCCAAATATATATTAGTTTTAGATGAACTTATGTGATCTATCGAAAGGAAATGGTAACATTTTTCGAATTCATAAGATTCTTGTTAAAAATAAATACTCTTTGAAAGACACAAAGATTTATATCTGGCAAATTATAGAGCTTTGCTGGGTGTTCAGACCACGTAATCCTGTCTCAAATTTATTAGCTTAGCCAACGATAAATTAGTAAATTCGGTCGCCGGTTGACCCGGAAGCGGCGCCTTAATGAGCTTTTTTTATTCTAAAGGACGTTTTCTACAGAATGAAGTCGTTCCCGTGTATGCCCATAAATGTTAATGCTGGTTACAATTGCAACGAGACGAAAAAATCGCTATAATTCTTGTTCTATATATTTTTAAGGAACTTAAATTGCGAAGAAATGCTAAAAACAAATATTTTACAAAAAGTTTATAAGGAATTTCTATTAGAACAACAACAATTTAACTCAGTCAGTATTCAGGAACCTATATCAGATATTCGAAAATATGTACTATAATCTAAAGAAACGAAACTGTTTATAAAACCACCTCAAAAATGTCTTTTTTTAAAGCGTATCGGGTTTTAAAAATAAGCATTAAAGTGATGGATGTAATATTTATTATTTTTTATTTCTGTATATATGATCACAATATTTTGATTGCGGTGCGTAAAATAATTTTATAACTTCTATCTATATTATAGCAAAAATAAAGTTATTGTTTTTTATCAGTTATATATCTTAGTAATACTGAATGTTATTCCACGACCAATTGCGCTGTATATTTATTGCAGGCATTAATTTAAAGTTTATTAAGGCTAATTTAGTTATTTTGGTTATATTATTTAAACATAGTCTTCACAGGGCAGTAATGAAGGAGCCCTACTTGTCAATCTTGTATCAAGCATAATCAACAATAAGTTACTATGACATATGCAGATTGACTGACAAAACATTAGGTGCACCTTTAAAATGAAATTATTTTAATGTTGCTCATTCTCAATAAATTTGGCTTCTACTATCTAATAAACTATTATTAAACACAGTATTTTACATTTGGCTAATAAAAAATCGTTTACTTGATATATGAACATCTCGTACAGGATTTTAATTAAATAATATTCCTGTTATCTAGAGCTATTATTAAAATAATTAAATATTAATGTTTGTATTAGTGTATATTAATTAAAAATATTTTCCCCGCATGTTATCCAATGGCTGCCGATGATATGGACCGATGTCGCCCGCAGTATGTGAGTATAATTTTATTATAATTTGTCCTCGTAATTACCATTTACAGGCCACAAAATTAAATAGTTTCAATATGAGTATTCAAATTGATTTTTGGATTTAAACTATGGGTATTATAAATTTTCTTGATCCTATTGGATATTAAGCTAAGAGTTAAAATTTAATTCTAGTCATTTAAGTATCCAAATAATGCTAATAAATAATATATACAATTTATATAAACAAATTGCTCAGAATTATTAGTAATATATCTAAAAGTGCACAATATTATTTCGTTTACGGATAGGAGATGGTAATACATACTATACGTAAAGTGTATATAGGGATAACCGACCAATCGATGTAAACCACACTGTATATACGAGGTACGTAGAAAATCGTACCAGTACCCAATGTGCGGGGCAAATTAACAGCGCATCCCCCGAGGCCAATATTTCTCCGGGCGACGTCGAACCCAGGACGCCTCTAACCGCCCGACTGAATCAGCGAGGAGCACGCCTACACCTTGTTCAAACGACGATTGCTACCTAACCCTCAATCAAATTGTAGCTACGTAAACTGCTGACTGGATAACCTGGCGCCTTACTGTATTTAGCTCTCTCGTTGTTTCAACAGACTATTGTAAACGCATCAGATGTGAAATATCTATATAGTCGAATCCAAAAAGAACGTAGTTATATTCGGAGAAGCTACAATGGTACTAAAAATTCATAGGCAAATAATTTTTTTTTAGAAAATTATAACATTCGTTAAATATGTAAAAAAAAATAATATAAAAATATTTAATGGAAATACTGCAATTTTTTGGAGCAATGCTTCAGTTTACCCATTGTACGTACATCATAAGTAATTCTAAAAACGATAGAGTGCGTAAACTGTCTATGAAAAACAGTATCTTTTCTAAAAAACGATATTTTTGTTTCCTTGATAGATAGCGGACTTATAAAACCAATTATTTTTTATATAACATAAAGAAAAAATAATGACTATTTATTTAAAATTTTTGGTTTTTATATTATAAAAGTATATCTATGTCTCTGATCCAAACAGTTGCAATGATTTCCTGAAAACTCTATTTTTTTACTTATAAAAATAGGATACATATTTAATTATTATTAACTGTATAATAAAAGACTTGATGATTGAAATGAAGTCCGTAATATAATACGGATAGTGGCTTAATCTAAAATTAGGGTACCATTAATAGCTCACGTACAAGACTAACTCGCCTCCGATGAACACACTAAGTATCAGCTGTTTAAACTTAATTTCTTATCTAAACACCGGTTCTCTAAAATTATGCTCAGCATAACGTCTTTAAAATTAAAATGACCATTGATGATAGCAAGCTAATTCATATAACTATGCTAATAACACCTACCTTCAACAAAATATAATCTTTAATCTGGATGCAAATCATCCTAATACGTTTCGATTATATGGAGCTATAATTTCGGTATTATATTGTCCATCAAAATGTTTTACATATATAAAAATAAAAGGATGGCAATCAAGCAATTTGTTTCTCGACCTACAAACTCTTTCGTGATGGTATTCTGTTTTGGTCTTAGGTCGTGAATAATTTTAGGATTAGATTTATACTATTTTCAAAAATTTTATTTTCTAATCTCATAATTATATCCAATACAAAGCAGTTAAGTAGAGATAAAATTTATAAATTTATAAACATAACAATCATTTAGTAACTGTGTAAATTTTATCAAGTAATATAAATTTGTATACTCTAATCAATGTTGCTACTCGGTTTTCAGACAGCGATGCACTGGGCTTGTAAACGGGGTGATGAGAATTTGGTCAAATTGCTGGCTGGTGTCGCCCGTCAACTTGTTAACGAACGCTCGGTTTGTATACATTATAATTTGCTAATAACATATTTCTTTAGACAATACAAACAATTACACATATCGATTATATCATGCTATATAATTAATTAATAATATTGATATAAAGCGACGAGACTTAAATTTACATACCTACTATTAAGGAATTTCACTAAGTTGGTTTCAAATGCAAAAAGGCGATAATCATAAAAGGAACTTTGCCGAAAATAATTTTGAGAACTATAGCCTATGATAATTTTATTTTTAACTGTAACTTAAAGGAGTTTATTAAGACTCCTATTTTTTTTTTACTATAGAAAGATCCCGCAAATTATCACTTATTCAAAATAATAATAATAGATATGTAAATTAAAGTCGCCGTCCCGGTATAGAATGGGTCATCCCTTTCTATCCCGTGGATATGGCAGCAGCATACTTTTTAAAACTTCACTAAAGCCTAACCGCGGTTGTTAACCCGCCTGCCAAACGTGGCAACTAATGCCAAAACCGCCCTTATGTGAGAAGCCTATATTCAGCAGAGAACCGTTAACGGCTGATATGGTGTTGATATTGATGAAATCCTAATCTATATAATATGTCGATATAATTTTTATATTTATCTTTTGTTCTCTTGTAGTAGTGTTCTTAATATATCTGTACAAAACTTGTTTAACAAATATGTATTTATTTATTACTAGGAAAAATATAATATTTATTCTCTTATTCCCATTGTAACGCTCTACGATACAACATATTCATAGCATATTTAAAAAATATATTTTATGCCTTTATTTTCTTTAGTTTATATTCTCATTTATTGTAATATTGTTGTATTTGTATTGGAAATAAAGAAAAAGTTGCTAAAAATATTTTCATTACCAAAAATATCGCAAATCTACTCGTGCGCGTACCGTTGTGTTCTGTTTCCGTGGAAATTCTTAGAAATTGTTTTGTTAGTGAATAACATCCGATAACAGAGAGAAAGAGTAACAGACACATCATTTCATATAAAGAGAAAAAAAAAATAAAAAGAAAATAAATAGAGTGGAGAAGATTCTAAGATGCCATTTCTGTAATTAAAAATTTCATTTTGATAACACAGCAAAATCTTTATTATAAGAACCAATATGAAGTACGTTTTTAATTAAATCAAAATTATAACTACCAAATTAAAATATTAGGTTAATACATACGTTTAAATAAATGGTATCTTAGAATCGACCTTAGTGATTTCTAAATTAATAGGGTTTACTTTTGCAAAAAAAAGCAGTACAATAATACGACTGTCCTTTGAAGAGATTTAGAGTTTGAAAAGAAATAATTATACGTTGAGTTCAAGCAAACTTAATAGATTTTTGCGTTGTTATTTTGCTGATATAATAATGTATAGTAGTATAGTCAAATCTTCAACACGATTGAGCATATATAGTACGTGTACGGATGTAAGTATATACGTATATGTGCATTGATGTCGCTGAAGTGCGATAACGAAGCATAACCGTACTTAAATGAAAGAAATACATTTTGCTACGCAAATAAAAAAATACAACTACACTGCCAAAAAATCAAATATTTAAAAAAAAATCCAGTTTCACTCGGGATGAGTTAGGGCTTTTTTGCAATGTGCCAAACATTTAAATCTGTACGTCTATGTATGTTAATGTTATGGTAAAGTAAATATTTTTTGCATATATGAACCCTGAAAAAATTGCACACCTATTCCAAAAGGTCCTAAAAAACGCAGTATTTCTACTGAATATATTAATATAGAACAGGGTTATCTTGAAGATTAATACAAATCTGTAGTCAATGAATATGAACTTTGGAACATGAGAACTTAATGCAATTTATAAACTACTTCCTGTAAATTGGATTTTTGCTGCCACATCCTCTCATTGGTCATTATCGTTAATGGACCTAATAAACACACGTTAAACGATAAATTGTAGTATCCACTGGAATTACTGCAATTGGTTTTAAATAGCTGCAATGGTTTCATGATGTGTTTATGTCGACAGCTGGGTAATCTTGGGCTTTACTGTTACCTAGAAGCTTTAATGTCCAATCAAATTTACTTACTCCAGTTTATTTTGCCTGTTTTACGGTATCATTAAACTGTCATTATGCTCTTTTTCATGTGGTGCTCGATCGACGGAGGCAGAATGGGGTAAGTCCAACACAAATTTATAGCTCTCTTACTACTTGTAGATTCGAGGGTGGTAACGCGTGACGTTCTCTTTTAACGATCTTTTACTAACTAAATTGTTGTTTTATGAGCGATCTCTTTAACACACTGTCTATGGCTCATTAGCTTTTGATCTATAGTTGCAAAAATATTTATTTTGCTTAATTTGCAACTACAAAATTTTATTTGTTTTTTTTTTGTTACTTTATTATTTAATATCTTGTCATTAGTTCGTCAAAACTATTGCTGAAAAGGAATTTATAATATTTTTTATATATTTTGCTTTTAACTTAATCTCTTTTGGAGTATGCATATAGCTCGTCATAATGTTAGCATGCATATTCATAATAATTTTCAACATTAAATATAAAACTATTTATTATTATACAGTATAAAAATGTGATAAAATGAACAATAATGCGAGCAGAATGAATTGTGGTTAAAAAGAATGCTGCTGTGGCGTGTAGGGTAAAGAAAGCGATATTGCGGCGGTTTGGACATGCCGAGACGATTGTAGCTCGGTAATAGTAACCAAACTGGCAATGTTTTGTTGGTAGACTAAATTTAAGAATATTAAAAATCGAATTTGAGGTAGGAGTAGAATTTGTTAATATCAAAAAAGAAAGTGATTTCTTTTCTGACAACTATGTCTTATAGACATGAAAAATACTATATGTTTTCGAGAATATACTACAACATCCATAACACCACTTACGTTGCTATTACTAAGAATTGTAGGATTAGTCGATAATTTATTTCCTTTTTAATAAAAAAAAAAATCATATTAATGAATAATAATCGTGATCTATTAAGAGAAAGTAAAATACTGCTCATAATCTGCATGATCTGTACTTGATATCTACATATTTTGCTGTTGCAACAGATTACCCAAAATGTTTATATTTAGATCTATACTTATCAGTAACTATATTATGATTAAATATGTGTAAAATAGATTTGTTTAAATATTGATATAATAATAATTAGTAATGTGTTAACTGAAGTAAACCTTGGTTATTTTCCGAAAATTCGACTTATTATTTTCCATTGAACGCTGCGCAGCTTTTTCAAAGTCACATCTTCAATGTACATTCCACAATATAGCGAAGCGCGCGCTTTTTCCCGCGCTAACCCTACATACACATACATTGTCATATGTACAGACGTTACTTATTTCTGTAGTTGTCACAATCACGGATCGTAACGTTTTTGTATGAATTGTCCAGGGTGTGGTATTGGTATGAGTGTTTTCTTTGTATTTGCAAAAAAGAATTTTTTGCAAATACAAAGCATTCTAAAAATATTAATAATATTATGATAGCGTTTTATATTATTGATAATATATTCATCAATATTTTAACAGTGATATAAAATGCAAAATGCGTTACTTGGCAGTAGCAAATGTACGCTCCTGCACATTTTACGTACTGCAATATTGAATCGACCATATTTCAGTCAAACATCTGCTGATGTTATGTATATTATATTCAGCAATATCCAACAAAGAGTAATATCTATCTCGGATAATATTGAATATAAATATTTGAATTCCGAGATGGCAATATGTGAAGCGGGGTTGTAACAGATGTTCAGAGTTTTGCATACCTGGATGAGAACATTAGCATTATGAGCATAGTTAGTTTTTTTTTTTATTTTTTTTTATTTGTAACAGTGGTAAATTGGTGTTAAGTGTAATAATATAAAAAGCGTACTTCATACCAAACCTTATCCTAGGCTATCACAGATTTTTATAGAGAGAGACTTGTGACCAGCAATGAATGGGTTATGGGTTATAAACTAACCTATAAAGATCAGAAACACCATCTGAACTATGAAAGTATGGTAAATGAAGCGAGCAATGTATGTCTCAGTATAGAAGCCTTAACACTTCGCTCTCACTGCCTAGCCTGTATGGGGCTTGACGTGAGGAGATTATATATTTTTATATTATTAAAATATTTATTTTTCAATGAACATCTTATTTCAGGGATATACGCCGTTACACATTGCAAAGCAGTTTCGTCATGAAAACGTGTATACTCTTCTAGTTGAAACATATGGTAAGCTTCTTTTTTGTACAACTTAGAATGATAAACAACCTGACGGCTCGTTTAATAATGTTAAAATGTTATCTCATCATCTAGCCAAAATAAACAATTATACTTTGCATACAATTTGCATACAATTCTTATATTCTTACTAACATGTGAATGTATCTTTTTTAGGTCTTGACTTTTACGTCTTTAACGGCTCAACCAATCGTCAAGAGTTACTGCACCGTTCATTGGGTTCTTTATAATTAATCTCATAATATCTCTAAAATTACCCAACCTACTGATTACCTGTAAGAGCAAACGCAGTATAGGATGACCCCCACTAGGTGGAGTGACGATCTCAAATGCATTGTAGGACAGTAGTAGGGAGTTATTGGATGCAGGTGACTCAGGACCATTTCTTATGGCAGTCTATGAGGGAGGCCTATGTTTTTTTTTTTGGTATGATAACCCCGCCTGCGCAAACGGGATACGCTGGCGGAGCACCAGTGAAGGGTGATAGATGAGAATGAAAACAGGCCCGTTAGCCCATCATGATGAATTCATCAGAAATTAACCATGATAGTTTTCAGGGAGAATCGCGAGGAGGTCGACCTGGTTGGGTATATTGCTAGCAATGGGATTCTCAGTCTCCATTACTAACAATCCCTTTCCCCCCGGAAGGCCTAAGTTCAGCAGTCGACGGATAATAGCTGAAATTATGATGATTACCTACTGATTGTATAATTTAATAACAATATTTTTTATGTATAGCTTAATATATATTCTAATATACAATTAAGAGAATTGTCAAAGTTTTGTACAAACTCCTTAAATTATTTTATGTACACATTAGTATCGTGTTGCCATCTTTAAACAGTTAAAGTAATCACTTGCTAGTTCTTATACAACTTGCTTCGTATTGTATACTGAATGCCCTCTGTACATGTATCGGGTAACTTTAAGTTGAGTGCGCCATCTTGTGGTTCATTCATTATTTAATAAGTTCGAATACTGTTTGGTCCCTGTGCCTCTAACGAACCTGTTTTTTTTAATAATGACAACACATTACAAATCTGAAATAACTCTGGTACTATTTATTAAAGAATATGAAATCAATTTTAGAATTAATATTATTTAAACGTAAACGACTAGTTGTGTATTATTATTTAAAAATCTTTTTAATACAAACAGAAATAGATGACACAAATTTACTCCTAGGAAAAATTTGACTAAGAAGTTTGTATCTTGATTTATAGATGGCGCGCTAAAAATTTGTAATGTCGAAATTAATAATATTAATTGCTTTCTGTTCCAGATGCCGATCCAAATATTCGAGATTGGTCAGGGAGGAAACCTAAACAGTATTCTGGTCATATGGACACGTCTTTATCCCCTGGCTCCTATCGAAGTAAGTGTTTTATTGTTACAATAATAAATAGTTGTTATACCCAATCTCCTTATTCATAAAAACGCCAAATCTTATTTTAGTATATTACTATTGAAGTGTTTTGCCTTTTTTATTACGCAAAATTACCAATGTATAAGAAACTGACATAAAATCCTAATAGTTAAAATAGTTTTTTAGGAAATTTTAATTTTTATATATGTTATATATTTTAATACCTCAGACTGTTAAAAAATTAATTAACTCTATTAAACGAATTGTCAAAGTTAATTTACAATTTGACAACTTAATTGCCTAACATAAATATATACAACCGAATTAAAAATTACCAAAGGAAGATAAATAAAATTCAACAAATATTACAAATCAAGTTGTTGCAGAGGCCGATACTATTAACATACGGCGTCCTGTTACCACCCCACCGGAGATACGAATCACTCCAAATACAATGAATACCATGTCAAGTAAGATGGGATGTCTCTCAGTCGTCTTAAATGTTACTCGTATATTCTTACTCAATGTGCACATTCGTTTTAAATGTTTGCTTGTACATTACATTAGTATATTTCCTCTATGAGCTACGTTTACTTATAGTGGTGTGGGTATATAGTATACTTGTTTAATAAATAATTAGTTATAAATAATAGTTATCTACATATATATTGCACTAGATTATGTACCTCAATGTATAGTATCGCTTGCCAAAAACGACTCAAAATTCTATCAGCCAAACGTCTCTTTGGCTGACTGACTGCATTTAATTAATATTTGTTTTTTGTAAAATAAAACATTTCAGAGTTGGAAGTAATTCGATTAATAAATTCCCAGATTAAATGACATTTTTTAAATTAAAACTTTATATTTTTTCATATATACTTAAATATACACATTATATACAAAGTAGTTTTTAGAACGATTTTGACAACGAATCCATAGTTCTCAAAGTAATCAAAATATACGTCATTACGAATCATTATGTTCTGTTTAACCAGTTTTTCAAATACAGAAATAAGAATTCTGTATAGCTTCTATGTATATAACTGTATATATCCTTGTCACATATTGTTCACGTGACTAAAAAACCTGTTTTTGGCGAGGCTTTTGTATGGAAACACTTAGAAGGGTTTATAATCTATATTGCACTATCTCAGTATTATAGTCATATAAGCAGCTCACTCTGTTATTTCAAATCACACGTCAAATATATGTAAGAGTGAATTAACACGTATTTTATGATATTATGATTTAACGAACTGACATCATGGCATATGTATAAATCTTTTACACGTGTTCTAATGCTTATATGTAGGAAACATATTTTCAGTAATTCTCCACAGATAATAAGTGTAAGGAAAAAATTAATTTACAGAGATTATGTTATTAAATTAAAAAATATCGATTAAAAAAATATGTATCCCTTCATAATGGCATCCTACAAGAGTTCTACTATAAAATACCATAGTATTTGTGAACAATTGAAACGATGGATTTAATCAATTTAAAAGATGCACAACATTTTAGGGGTTAAGAATAAATAGGAGCGTCCAAAATTAGGTTATTGTTGCGTATTTTTATATATATATATGGATTTCAATATTTGTTGCAAATGTAGTTCGTGCGCCAATTTTTTATACTAAATGAGCTCAGAAGAGCTCTCCGGGATTGCCACATGCGATTTTTTCTTTTTATTCGAATCTTTTTTCTCCAAATCATTGTGATTTCTTTCTCTTTTACCTAATCACAAACTTGTGTCAATTTTCAATACATTTTGCCATGTAACCACAAAATTATAGACAAAAATAAAAGGCACTCCCCTTCCCTGCGCTTCTATGTTTAACTTTTTTTACTTTCTAATATGTTGCGTTCATTGGTATATTTTATTGTATTTATATACCGCTATACGGATAATAAACACCAGAACTATAAAAAAATTGCCCAAATTTCTTTAAAGCACATTTATTTAATTTTTCTGCCAAGAATTTCTTTTCTCCTAAATTTCAGAAACGGAAATATTTTCACACTTAAGTTGCACAAAATGTACCCAATGTAGCTACGACAGAAACTTGGACTTAACTATTGATATAACCAATAACGCAAATAACTCAGATAGACGAGTAATATTGTAACTTCCTAGTAAATAGAAAAATATATGGTATGATTAGTTTTCATATACATTATTTGCGTCGTCTATCAAATCTCTAGTAAACAAAAATCCTTACTATTTTCGTTCATCGTTTTTGTGTTAAATTGCCTCGATTATCGACCTTTATAGTAATGAAATAAGTTATTTATTAATTTATCACATATTTTATCAATCTGATAGTATAATCAGGCCGCTAGGATGTTATCACTTTGTTTTTGCGTACACCGTGAGAGGCATTATTATCAATGAAGTTTGTTTACTATTATTGGCTTTATCTAAAAAATAAGTCACTTAAATGAGTACGTACGATTAAACCTCATTATTTACCTGCCTACGTTACATATAGGTGTTGACCTTACTTATAATGACAGGTTAAAATTTAAAAACAGCCTATTTGATCTGTATACAAATATTATAAAGAAGAAAAATTTGACTATTAAATTTATAAACTACTTGTCCGATTTTAATAATTTTTTCACTATATTATCAAGCAAAAAGCTACATTATCAGAGAGTAGCATAGGCTATAAATTGTTTTTAGGCAGAATCCAGGCTAAATCGTTACTTGTTACATATAATTGTGTATTTTTAGAAAAAGAGAGTTTTCTACGCATCGGTTCACTGAATGTGCGAGTTAAAAGAACGACGGAGGCGTTCAGCAACTTCCTGGGAGTGGGCGCCACTAGATCCTCTTATATCCCCAAATCGGCTAAAGATCGTGAGGAGAGACGATCCGATGACGGCGAACCATTGAAGACGTGGGGATCAGCAGATAATATACAGGTGAAAAAATTGTCTTTCTCTTCTTCTATTGAATTAAGTGTTATTTCACAAAAAAAAATTATTGCATCAAAGTACCAATATTTATTGCGGTAGATCAATAGTACAAATCGTAACGTGAATATCGGTCAAAACTTTCATTAAAATAATGATCTTAATCAAACTGACTTGACTTCTTACAATGACGAATTTGTATTGTTGACAATTTTGTAATGATTAATGATTAACATTCATTGAGCTTGGAGACAGGCTCGCTTTTTTTCTGTCATCTATACAATAAAAATTCAAAAATACTATATAATAAATGTCCTTCTCTAGAAATTTGTCCGATTCTAGAGTAGTTGTTCCGCTGCAGTGTCACAGTCCTTTCCGCAACTGCAGTGTCCATCCCTTCCTCTTATTTACCAATTTTCTTCACGCATTTCCAACGTTCCTTCCCTTTTTTTTTCTCAATCCTTTCCTCCGTTTTTCATCATTTCCAAAGAGGGTTGACGTCAAACAGGTAGCCGGTCGTAAAACTATAAGCCAAATCCTTTTTTAATATAAATAAAAACATATTATGTTGGCCCCAAATAATAATTGGAATAAGGGTATGAAGATGATGATGATGATAAAATAAAAATTGTCCTGAGAAGTTCAACAATTTAATGACATTACAATCATCGCACTCGTCGCCAGAGTGCGTGCTTCATTTACAAGCATTTACAATTCTTATTTATTTATTCTTTATTGTACACAAAAAATTACAAACATATAATTTATATTAAATAAAAATGTAGAACAGGCGAGCTTAACTCTGTAAGAGTTCTCTTCCAGCAAACTCTGAGTGGAAAGGAGTATTAATTACCATTCTTTATTATGAAATGAGTAAAAACTAAAGTCGAAACTACAATTTTTAAATAAATGACATTGTATTTCAGAACGATGATAAATTAATGCCTCCACCAATGAGCAGCAAGGTACGACGTCGCGCTGCCAGCGGCCGCCGCGGGTTAACATCGCATAGTCGAAGTACACCCTCTACGCCCGATCAGGTTTGTTGCATTTGCCATATTTGGCAACTGGTATACTGACAACCATAATGTTTAAACGAGATAGAGTCAGTTGTAAATTTATGTAGTGTTTTGCCAATATAATTCTCTATATGCAAATATATACACTGACACTTTTCTACTGATGGAATAGAAAATAAAAGTTCTGTTGTTGGTTCTCCGGAATGGCAATGCATGAAGGTATCATGGGCGACACATTATTCTCTATTATGTCCATGATATGTTATGTGCATGTCTACAGGCAACGGTTACCACTTTTCAATAGGGCGGGCCCTCGACTTCTATGCCATTCTAAGTTGCATAAAAATCTTACATTTTGTGTTTCAAATATATAAATTAGTTCTACTTTTAAAAAAGATTACGCACTGCTTAAATTCTAAAAAATCACCTACACGCCTATTTAAAACACTATCCATAATAATTCTATGAAAAAAGAAACAACGGCCAATTTTTCAACAACGGTTTAATCTTAACTAATTACTTGCTAATATTATTTATCAGCTTATATTAGTAAAATACTTGTTTTTAAATGTTATATGTATTTTAATGTGTTTTACATCCAACTTCAATAGAATATAGGACATATTTTGTTAAAGTTGGCTAACACTAAAGCTATTGTTTACGCGCAATATCATATTGAGAGCACAATATTTTTTCCAGCCACGTGCACAAATTGGTACAAGTGAAGAAGGTGACTCTGATTCCGATTCAGCGGCTGGATTCCATGCGGCCTGGCGCCAGCGCTCCTCGCAATGTTAGCTCATGAATCAAGAAAGAAAATAATAATATGGATCATTTTACATATGACGTTTAACAATACTAGATAGGAATCCATCTAAATTTCTAATATAGATATATAAAAAATATGTATCTACATTAGAAACCAAAACTCTACAAATAGCATGTAAAACATTATATATCACTAAATTTAACAAAATTTTTTAAATTATAAAAAATATAAATAAATCATATCATTCTTGTATAATTAGGATGCACTGATTGCAGGATTGATTAATTGCAAATAAACCGTCTTTTATATTCATTATTTAATATTCAGTATTCGAAATTCAATAAGTATAACTTAATTGAATTTTCAAATATAATTTGAATACATTTTCTACTTCACATGTTCAATTAATTATATATTAAACATAATTAAGAATTGTCGGGCGAAAAAAAAATTATTTTGTTGTATTGGTTTGGTCCAGTCAGTCAACTGTTGGTTGAGTCAATTAATATATCGTATGGAAGCATGAAAATATAGTATTGATAATAATATCAATAAAGAAACGTGATATGGACAGTGTGGTAAAAGTCATTATTTACAAGGTTTTTATACGATATGATTGAGATATAAGTGTGGCATTGTAAAATTAATATTCAAAATTTTATAATGATTTTATGCAAATATTTTTGCATTGCTATTCTTCTTTATATAAATAGCATTTTAAAATGTTGATAATGGCCTTATTGTAATAATAAGAAAGTATTATGAAACTTTTCATTGATCTTGGTCACATTAGCGTTTAAGTTAATTTCTTTTTTTTTTGTGATCCTTATAACTTTTTGTATTTGTAGGGTAAAATATTAGGTACTTCATACAAGATCAACGAGTATCGAACAATTTGTGTTATAAAAAAAAGATATTACACCCAAAGGAACCATAATTAATTTTAGAAAATATGTATGAGATGGAACTAATACGGACGGAAAACCGTAAAGATATAATGTAACATACAAGAACAACAGTCGACTTCTACATTTTCGAAATTACTTAATAATTGTACATGTATAAATACACATACATGTATGTCATAAATATAAGTCAGACATAAAATGAAGATAAATTAAATTAATCAATGATGATTGAATGATAAGTGCCTATTGGATTTAGATACTTGAATTTTATACGAACAAGTAGGTTCTGTTATAAATTAGACATCCATTAAAAATATTCTAAAGATATATAAAGTAAATAGAAATTTTGGTTACCATGCAGACAAGGCTGCGGAATTTTGATATGTTCTATTAATCCTAGATATCTCTCCTAGATAACTCCTTCAATTTATGCTAGATAGTCTTTCCAAGGACGCAATATCTTTGTAAAGAAGTTATCTATGTGTACATCAGTCTTACCATTCTGTAAATTGCTATCAATCTTGTCAACATATGCATTAGGTTGCTTTTACACTTTAAGCTTAAATAGAGGCGTAAATGTTTTACTCACGTAAGGATCTTTAATAAATTTTATTGTTTAAAATATCATAAGTACCTATACATTGTACACGATGCACCTTTTTGTTTCTTTTTTATTCCTTTTTTTTAATTTTTTTTTTTGTGATTTCGTTTTATCATTCGTGCTTAGAATGAAATTCTGTACATGAGTGCATTATATCGTAACTTAATAGATGGGATATTTATTGTCATGTAGATTCACAATGTTAAAATTGCAAGATACGGCTTCTAAATTGTATTTCTCTTTTTATGTTTATATATATATATATATATATATATATATATATATATATATATATATATATATATATATATATATATGTATATGTGTATATATAATTTTATTTATCCATACACTGTTACTGACTATAAGACTACTAAAATGTTATTTATTATATTTTTGTACCACATATATTGTGCTTTATATACAAATCATATATATATATATATATATATATATATATATATATATATATATATATATACCTATTATTTATATACACTCTTTCAGATTCTTAAGGTTGACTAAAAGAAATCCGTTTAAGGGATAAGTCCGCCTGTATACATTTTTGTTATAATCTAATATATATGTTAAAAGTGTATAAGATACAAAAGCATAAATAAACAAAAATAAATATATTTTAATTTTAAAAATAACCAGTGTTACGTATGTATGTATATTCTTAACAAAGTTTGTATGTTGAACTAGTTTCAGGACTGACCGAGACCTTTACTCGTGTTTGACCAAGTTACAAGCGATAATCGATATCAAACTTACGAAACTTATACTGAACTCTACTTATGTGAGTAAAACTTGCCGATTTAAATGCGCCGTAAATATAATTGCCTGACAAAAAGTGACTATGATATTGAAATAATTTTTGAAAATTTTACTATATTGTATTTACTAAATTTACACTGTATTATTAATTAACTTGTACTAGTTTAATTATTCTGTGATATAGTATATTTTTCTATTAAATTCATGTCTAAATTTCACTAGGCCAGATAAGCATTAAAAATGTAATATTTTTTTAATATTAATATCTTGATTTAGGTAAATAAATAAAAATAATTGGTTGCATATTTATGTTATCAAATTAAGATTTTTTTTTTCAAAAAAATACTTAAAACGTGACGTTTAAATGTAACCGACAAGGGAGTAAATCTTATTGATTTCAAAATCAATGCAAATCTGTCGAAGATGTTGTGTAACACAAAATATACTCTGAAATTGAAAATTTCTTATTGAAATCGGTTGAAAACATGAAAAAAAAAGCACAAAATTATTATTAAGATTAAATGCTACTATTTTATATTCTAGTAAATATTATGAATGTAGCATAAACAATAATCACGTAACTAAACTAGGTACTATATGTATTAATTATTACAAATTTAATTTGTTTACTGCATGCACATTGTTAAACCAAAACAATAAACTCAAGTGATATTGAATTCATTCCATAATTATTGTTTAAATCCATAATTTAATGTTTTAATAAAATAAAAAACGACAAATTGATTTATTATTTATAAAACCCCTAAATTAATATTATTTGTATAATTATTAATATCTACAATAAAGATAATTCTATTAATTAAAAATACTGTCTTTAAAATTATTATTACTAGGTATAAAAACCTCGCAAGTCCTCGCAAAGCTGCGCTCTTTGCTTAGTATCATCATTTCAGCCGTAAACTGTCCAGTGCTGAACATAAACCTTCTTCGTAAAGAGAGTTTTGCCAGTAGGCACGCTTGGCAGGCGGATTAGCAATCGCAGTTCTGCTTTTAGAGATATTTCAAGAGGGACACTGCTGCCTGTCTCTTTACCATTAAACTTCTCTTAGTCGCGTCTTACAACACCCACAGGAAAGAGGATGGCCTATTCTACGCCGAGACTATACGGCCACAGTCTGCTTTGTATATAAGTAAATTCATATCCTTTTTCTAGGTATTCTATCAATTAAAAGAAATTATTTAATGGTTGGATAAGCGGTCTTACTACAAAAAATAAACATTTTTTCATTTTATATTCTTTAAATAAATTAAATATGGTGTTAGAATAGATAAAAAAACGTAACAGTACATTCATCAAAATTATAAAAAGAGGAAGTATGCCTTGAGCAAATAAACCGCCGCGTCAGAGCTATGAACCTTGCTAGATTGCATGCTAGTCAGTCCAGTCTAGTACGTCAGTCATATCTTTTACGCCTTTTTTATATTTCTTTTTATATTTTATTCTTTAAATAAATGTCACAGGAAATTACATACGCTTTTGTTTGTAGTAAGTCGTCTACACACATGTATTGAACATTATTGCAAATTTAACTGTTTTGTGAGCGAAGTTTTTTTTTTTTAAATTTACCTATCTTCATCTCTACACATGCAACTGACGGATTGACGTTAACTCTGAAAACTGATAAAAACGAACCTACTAACAAGAAAGGTGTTTTTTTTTTTAACAAAAAAATCGTAGTATTCAATAACTTTGATGTTTCCCTTATAGAGCCCGTGAATGCCAGACTTTCCATATTTTATAAAAGCTGAATGTTTCTCGACGCATGCTCCCATACATTCAACACAGGTAGCAATGAGAGCTTATATTGAAGTTTATGTCATCGTGGCTTTGGCAGCTAATAGGTAGAAAAAGTATATAAAATATCAACTTAAATTTATCAAATAATAAAGCATAATGAAAATATATATATAAAATCATATTAGAAATCATATCATTCATTACAAGACAATATTGTGGTAACCCATTACCAGACACCCGCCGACTTCATAAAACATGAGTTTGATATAGGGGCAAGCGCGAGTAGCCAGTGAAATAGCAAAAACTTTTTGCTTATTCACAAAGCATTTTTGTTGACTCCGGACATTTATAAATGTCTTACAGCTTTAAAAATCTACTGACAGAACACCTATTAATAATTTTTCTAAAGATTAGATCTAAAGAAAGATTAACGAAAAAAATCAAGTAGGTTTCGTTTACGAATTGAAGAGGTTAGGGTACATCGATATTTGTTTGAACATATGCTCGGAGGCTCGACGAATTATGACGTGAATATTTCAAAAATGTTATCGTATTCATTTACTACTATTTCTCTCTATTATAGATTTAGATAGCAATTCCAAAAAAATATTTCTATAAAATATTGCAAATATAAATGCAAATATTCAATTGCAAACATCGATCGTTGATTTTATATTTGATCCAGACTTTACACCATCGATCAAAGATTACGAATATTCCCACCAATTCAAATCTGCACAGTTAGAGAACATCATAACTGTATCTGGTCAAATTCACCCGAGTGATGTTATTTTATGCATGTAGCAGTATAAAAATAAAGCGAATATTATTTACCAATTTATTTAGTTTATTTTTTAATCATTTATCAAACTGAACATTAAAATCGTTGATTTTTTACGTTATTATATTTTACGTACATTGAAATCGGATCGAGAACGAGCCTAGTCCGAATCTAGTCTAAAAACGAATAATTTTGCGCATAAAATTAGCTATTTCTATCTCAGCCATATTCGGAAGGAAAGGCTGTCCGATATTACCGGTCTTTATTTAACCCATACTAAGTTCAAACAACAATACTCGTATCTACGTAGCTATGTATGTACGTACAAATACATAAAATATTAAGAAAGATACAAACTTATTATTTACAAATATGCGTAACACAGAAAATTCACAATCATTCTACTTTAATTCAATATTCGAATTTTTAAAAAGAGAATTGTTAATCACGTATCAAAAACCTCTGTTACTGGCAACTTGAAAAACTAAGTTTTTTTTTTATTTATTTATATTTTGAATTAAGTATTCATTGCGATTGCGATTTTTCTTATAATAAATGTAATGTTCTTACAAGGTTTAATTTTATTTTGAATGGAACGTTACAGTCTCTACGCCCTTATTGAAATTTTTAATTAAGTATCTCATAAAAATGCCTGCATGTTTATCTATTTTAGAGAGAATGAGAATCATGGCTCTAAGTCAAATAGGGATGAGAGTTGCTAAGAATATTTAATAGCTGTATATCGTAAGTAAATTTCACATCATATTGGTTTTATATTTGTTAACGTAATAATGGCGGATATTACGTTTCCTCCTACGAACTGTGTGCCTACTTACTGAGACGGTCGATGTATTTATGGCTCTATAGATGGAAGTTTTAATATATAAAAATTTCACATCACGATATTCGCTCGATATTATAATACGGGGTTTTCATATATTAAAATAAACTACTTCAAAATATACTGATTTATTGATGCATAAAATATAACAAGACTGGCAAGATGTCTGTGAGGAAAAAATATTATGTATCTAAAAAAAACCTACATGAAATTATTAAGACTTCGCAAATGCGTTTCGGCCAACGTAAGTACATAGTAGACGTAATGTTAACAAATTAAGTATGACGTCAATACAACGTATTCGCAACTTGAAAATATAATAAGGCCATTCGAAACGAATTCGAAACAATTTATAAATGATATATACATGTATGTGTGTATGTCATTCATAGTCTTGTGATTTTATGCAACAATAAATTCAATCTATTGGAATGTTTGCCATGCGGTCTCGGCATAAAATAGGCTACCCTTTCCTACGAATATTCCGTGGGTGGCGTGAGACGACTTCGGGAGGTTAATAGTCGAGGGATGGGCAGCAACGTCCTTCTTAGAACATCACGAAAGCCTAACTGCAGTTGCCAATCCGCCTGCCAAGCGTGGCAACTACTGGCTCCCCTTTTAGAAGATACCTACGTTCAGTGGACTGTAAATGGCCGACATGATAATAATGATTGGATTTCCGAGCAGTTAATTGACAACAAGCAACCAATATAACAGCTCTATCCAGCAATTACGACACTCTTTATGGCGTAAAAAGTCACCAGAGCACTGCTCAGGAGGGAGCGCCACACAGAAGAACCTCCCTATTACTCCTTTCTCGCTGCTACTCGTAGTTTCTCTTGCTGAGGTTGTAACACATATACAGCGGAACAAAATTCCTTTGCTGTCTCTACTCAATACTGCACGAATCATTGAAAAATTTCTATAACACTTATTACTCTTTACTCAATTCTCTTTAATCCAGTTACACCTCATTATTTAAAAGAACGTTTTATGTTTCTTGGAGAGAGCAATTCTAATTCTTATTCTTTACGTAGTACTGACAACCTCCAACTCATAATTCCTACCCATTCTTCCTCTTTCTACTCCAAATCCTTTTCCGTGC